GGAACACCTTGTACATTTATGAACTGTTTTATTTTATTCATAAAAATAAAAAATAAATTTTCCGTCTTTGACATTATAACTCACTATTTTTCTTAAAAGTGTTACACTTGGCTTGCACATTTTTCATTATTTAATAATTCTTTGGAAAGCAATAAACTACTAGAAGATTCAGAAACCAGTTGATTACGAAGTTTCGTTTTTATTAAATTCAGCCTGCTAAATATTTTGCTATTGCACTATCGTGGGGTAGACAAAACAAATAATGTATACTTCAAACTACAACTTTTGGAACATTTCAACTCCTTCAGTAAAGAACTTAATTTTTAACTCTTGATTTTTTGGATTTTTTGGACTAAATGTAAATTTTTATGACTATACAAGTTTTTAAATCTCATTCTAATCTGAATCTGCATAATATCTTTTTAAATATTGACAATTTTATTTTGTCCAAATTTAAATTTTGGGATCAGCAGTTCTATTTTTCAGACATTTCCTCTTGTGAATGGTATTTCTCTGCATAAGTAGAGTTTATTGTCAGGAGAGCGGTGGTACCAAGAAATATTCACAACGCCACTAGTTCTTTAATTTGTGCAAAAAAGTATTAGTTATACAAAAGCACTAGCTCTGGCAACACCGGTCCTATCTGGGGCATTTGTGTTTAATAATGTACCACGTAAACGATACAAAAAATTTGTTTTAAATATTGTAAATATATGCTGATTGTTTGCTATTGCGATCTGTTGTAAATAATTCATTGCATCTGAACTTTTCTAAGTGTACATTTAACCGTAACATTAATTCAGTTATTTGTCAATATCATATCTCCAATTCAGTTTTAAGGAAAGCTTCTGGATATAAGATCTTGGAGTATTGTTTCAGTCCAAATTAGTTTTCATCGAGTACATTAACTCAAAATCACTGATTCTAGAATTCATACTTTGTAAACATTTTTTGTTACTATTAATTGCGTGAACTGTACCTACCTCTGATTAAAATATTTAGATGTACATGTATAACATTCACCCTGTATCTTCAATATTTCAACGTATCTCTTCAATTATACAGAAACTGTAGTATACTAAACTGTTCAAAAATGGATTAATAAAAACTATATAAATATAAAAATGCAGTCTGCCACAAGCTATAACTAATTAACCGATTTGTTCTCATGATTTTATAAAAGAGTTTTTCGGAACGTAGTAAAAAGATTAACTATAGTTTTGTTCAGATTTATCTGCTTCATTCTAGCCGCATCCAATTAACCAAGACTGCAAAACATATTTCTTGGTTTAGTGTTAATAGAAATGAATCGTTGTTAACAGTTAGTGGTTGCACAAACATTAAGTACTACATTCATCATTTTGAAATGGAATTTATGTGGTCGTAACTATGCTGAATATGATTAACTTTCGAAATATTTGTGATATTCAACAAAAGAAAATTCATTCAGATTATGAGTTGTTTTACGAATCTGATGTAAGAATAAGAATTTAGATATGCTAAACTAATTACGATTTATAAATAAGATTAGAACATCATATCAGTTGTACTGTCAATTATATTCATTTCGACTAGGGATAAATTTCAAAATATTCGTGACAAAAAAAAAAGTTGAAGATACCCCAACTGGTTCGCAGCGCATTCATTTTCATATTGCTCCACCTGAATTAGCATGGATATTAGGAGAGGAAAGATTTCTACTTGCATTCAAAGAAGAAACTGATAATCTGGAAAACCTAACAGGTCGCATTCAATATAACCCAATCTTCCAAAAGATTGACAAATAGTAAATAGTTAATAACAAATTCGGAAAATCAACAAACATGTCCTGTCCGTCTGTAGAAGAAATTAATAAAAAAAAAAGGAAATCACATTGAGGGTTGCTTTTGGTGTGCAACAAAATGAAACTCTCTCTCAACGGTAAAATAAAAGTATTTTTATTGAAAACGATAGTACAGTGAAAGGAAATGTTGTCGGGGCGAACGTTCGTTGGAGAGTCTTGGTATGGAGTCGCTCGCATGTATATGTATCTGGTCCTGACGCCAATCTGCCGTGGACTTTTCCTGGAACCCTGGTGTGTCCCGCGTCTGTTCTTTGTCCTTGCAACTATTAGGCCGGTCTGGCGTCAGGCTGGCGCTTTTGACGTAATACTTATAATCCAGGCTGTATCGTCGCTCCCGCTAGGAACATGATTCTCATTCAATTTGTTTTCATAATCTTACTAAAAAAATGACCGTTGAAACATATCCGCATGCTGAGAAACGTTACTAATGGTCAAAAATTGTTTAAACAATTTTTTTTAAACAGATTCGTAACTTTCGATTTTTTGCTTGAAATAATTTTTTTTTTGGCTTTTTGGGGTACCTTAAACAAAAAAGTTCCTATGCAACTTTTCTCTAAAATCTACCGTTTTCGTGATATTAACGATTTTTTGTTTGAAAAAAAAAACGCGATTTTAACCATTTTCAACGTCAATACCTAAACTATATTAAAAATAACAATTTTTTAGTGTTGTCAAAATTCTTAATTAATCTTTGAACACCCCTTAACAAAACTCCGAAGAGTTACGCCGGCATATTTTATTCTGAAGACTTGTTTTTTTTTTTTTTGTTAATAAGGCGCGCGCGCCGCGTTTCTCAGTCGCTCTTGGCCGCCTCCGTATACTGCGTCTCTCTCGCACTCACTCGAAGTATACAGGGTCGGAAAGTCCCCATGGTTCATCGGCCGTTATGTGAGAGCGTTAAAGAAAGTCATAGAAATCCGTGCGATAGAGAAAGATGGCTATAATGAAGGCGTCTAATAGTCACAGCCCATTTCGCCCTTCCACAAATAAGATCCACTTCTTATTTGTGGAAGGGCGAAATGGGCGGTGACTATCGGACACCTTCATTATAGCCATCTTTCTCTATCGCACGGATTTCTATGACTTACTTTATCGCTCCTACGTAACGGCCGATGAACCATGGGGACTTTCCGACCCTGTATACTCTAGCCTACAACTAAGGATCCGCTTGTATCGCTCAATATTGACCGGTAGGTTTGTTGTTTTTTGATAATAATAAACTTAATATTAATAAACTATTTAATAAATAATGTTAATAAGAAAGCGAATTATTCAAAACCAAACTATTGCTACTTTAAATTAAATGTTATTATATTTTATTGGAATATAGCATATAAGTACTCGATTAAATCAATTAACTTAATTTTTTTTAATCATTGTCATGAAAAACAATTTGATAATTTAGTTAGGATAATAATTACAAAAGCTTATTGGTAAAGAAAGTTAAGCAATAGTAATCTCAGGTATATGTTTGGAAAATCAATGAAAAACTACGTAATTCAATTATTTATAAATTATATAAAGTTTTATTAGTTATTTACAATACATTAATTTATATTTTATTAATTGAATACAAAATTGTTACTTGACATCTGTATATGGAGGAGGCCAAGAGCGGCCGAAAAACGCGGCGCGCGAGCCTTATTAACAATAAAAAAACAAGTCTTCAGAATAAAATATGCCGGCGTAACTCTTCAGATTTTTGTTAAGGGATGTTCAAAGATTATTTAAGAATGTTGGCAACACTAAAAATTGCAATTTTTAATATAGTTTATCGACGTTGAAGATGGTTAAAATCGCGTTTATTCGAACAAAAAATTATTATCTCGAAAACGGTAGATTTTAGAGAAAAGTTGCATAGGAACTTTTTTGTTCAGGATACCCCAAAAAGCCTAAAAGAATTTATTTCGAGCGAAAAAATCGAAAATTACTAATTTGTTTAAAAAAAAATTGTTTAAACAATTTCTGACCATTAGTAACGTGTGGCAACATGCGGATATGATTTAAGGGTCATTTTTTTAGTAAGATTATGAAAAAAATCGAATGAAAATCATGTTCCTAGACGATACAGCCTGGACTATTAAGATGGGTCATTTGTGGACATGTGTAGCCACATTAAAACCGACAGATTGACTTCATTTCATAAAATTATTTTTTTTAATTTGTTTGAATTTGCTTAATACATACCTATAAAATATAATAACATAAAATGCGTTGAAAATGTAAAATGAGGCGAATTTATAGGTTTTAATAGCGGATCCGCCCCCACAGAGCCTAGCTGGAGAACAACAAGAGCAGGTCAAAGATTCCTAGCTAAGGCTAAAGAAATGAAAGGAGTTGGATATCTTCTTCATACCTAGATTTCTGGTATGAAAGAACTTCGTTTGATTTCATTTATTATATATTTCAATATTTTTTTAATTATTTTTTTTTGTTTGAATTAGCTTAATACTTTTTTAAACTTTTTTCGTATTTTGATAAACTGTACGTGTGACTGATTTCTTCTCCCCTTATTTCAACACCCTGTATATATACAATTATTTTGCGATGGCTTTCCTCTATTTAAGTAGGTAGTGAAACATTAAGTGAATGGTATAATATTTTATCCTGTTTCAAAACTGTTTCTTCTTAAATTACATCTACTTAATTGATGTACCCTCTGCGCGTCAGAAACAGGATATATGTTTGAATGAACATATATCCTGTCGCCCTCAAAAATGTTTTGATATTATTTTAACACACCCTGTAGTTCCGAAATCTGAGAAATAAAAATATGAAATTAAGTAGGTATGCTGTGCATTATTAAAGTATTTCGAGACCTTTGTCATAGTACTCTAAATTCGTTTGTATAAGCAAGGTTAGTGACGCAAATCGTTTTTCAAAAATGAGGTTCGAAAACACCTGAAAATTAATGGATATTAGAGAAAAATGAGTTAGATCTGCCTTTTGTACCGCAACTGTACGAATAAATAGTTAAAAATAAGCCATTGTCACTCTCATGAAGTAAGTACGTACTGACAGCAGTGTGACATTTCACTAAAAATTTAAAGTACCATCAGTCATCCCTCATCAAAAAAAAACACAAAATTTTTGTATAGTGCGTAGAAGGACAATGAACTGTAAAGAAATTGGATGCTACGATCTTGCATAAAACAGCATGGAATATCCGGCTCATTGGGCCACCATGGCCAAATGTAGTTTGTGTGGAGTCATTCCAGAGAGTGCACCATTGTATCAGTGTCCATTCCAGCACCAATACTGTTTCAACTGCATTAGTGAACTAAGAAAGAATTATAGAGGTACCAACTTATTTTACATCCCCCTTTTGCTATTTCACACTACCCCTGCCTAAAATTCATAAATAAGTACACTGTATAAGTCACCTTATGAATGAACAAACGTGGCGAATTGACGAGTGTTGCAAAATACCTACTGACTGACATTTTCATGTTATATTTTTGGTTCAAGTATCCCACTTCACTACGTTGAGTAATCCCGTATTATGTACGTTCAAATAAGTATGTTCAAAAATAATGATCCCAATTTCAAACTAAACATTTTAAAAATATTCAGGCAAAATTTTTAATGATTCTGTTATGTACTTGTAAATATTAATAGATAATCAAAATGACGTATGTCATATTTTCTGCTAGAGTGGTAGGTAATTTTTATTTAAAAGAAAAATAAGGATAATAAAAATGGTAAATCACATGGTAAAAGAATATTCAAAATTTTATAGTGGTTTACAATTTTGACTCTAAAGAATTTTACTGCATTCATGACGTCTTAATTTGGTATTAATATATATTTTTTTATTTATTAGTATGTTTTGAAGTTATTTATAGTTAATCATATTTCATCAGTACCTTCTTTGTACCGTTAGAGTTGTATTAATTCCTGTTACACACTGAACTCTTATATGGAATGTTTCAAAATAAAAAGACATTTATAAATATTTTTTTAAATCCTCGCTTCAGTATATTCGATCGAGATTATTCTTTTTTCCAGAATAAAAAAATTACCTAGTAGATAATTTACGTTTTTCTCGAATTTGGGAGAATGTATAGTACCTAAAGAAATGTAGGTGTATTGGCACTAGTGAAAACGCTAAGCAACTTGTATATACTCGACATTTTACTGTAAATTTATAATAAACTAGGATCACTTAATTATTATTTTCTTAAATTTTCCATAAGGGATTGCTTTTTAAGGGGATCGCTTTTATGCGTAATTTTCAATGAATTTATAGCAGTCTTTTTTTTTTTTTTTTTGAGAAAACTTGTCATTTTATTTATTTATTTAAGGACAAGGGACAAACACAGGCTTTATAGCCCAAAACAATGTCCACAAATTACTTAAAGCTAATTGAATATAAAAGTACAGAAATGATTATTATAATAGAAAATGTTAATTTTGTCGAGGGCTTTAGAAAATCTAAGTTAGGATTAATATATCTTAACTGTGTCAGTTATACAAGTTTTCTCAAGGGGAAAAGGCAATTTACAAGCCGACAATACATTCAGAATAAGGTTTTGCTTCTTATTTTTATCATTGGGGCTGTCAGAGAGAGCCGCAATTCAATGGCGTGCCAAGCGGGTCCACCGAGAAATACGTCAACCGCTGCCTCAGAATGCCTTTCACGTTCACGTCACGTTAGCATACTGTGGCCCTTGTTATCGTACGCATGTTGCGTAATTAATTCCTATCCGTTGGTGTTTATGGTGGTGTATTGTAGACAATTTAATTTGCTGCTTTTTAATAAATAATGCGTACGCCTATGTCCCGCGGCTCAGTTCTGACAGCCCTATTTTATCATTACATGTCAATTCAGTCGCAACAACGATAAATATTAGATTTTTTTCATTATTATAGCTTGTGTAAAATATTTATACCGAGTGACCAATTTCAAATTTTAACGCCCTAATAAAAGTTGTATTTATTAATCGATTTTGACCGGATTTTCTTTAAAAAATACTATAAACTCCAAAAATTGTACTTTTGGACAAAATTCATAGACGTGATTTTCTTTTGGTCTATTATCAAAAAAGGTAGTGGCAATTTTTTATATAAAATCTGCATACATTATATACCAAATTTTATTAAAAAAAAAAAACGAAATTTAAATATTTTTGCAGACAAACTTAGTAATGAATGGAATAAACATCAAAAGCAGGCATCAAAATTAATTTTAAGGACATTATTAGCAATTAAAATCACAAAGAATTAATCTCCAACAGTTGTTCTATTTAAAAAAATAACCAAGTTCCCAAGAGGTCCAAGTCTCTGATATTAGTAGAGTAATATTACTACAATTAATTTTGTTATCTGTTTTTAATATTCCATGGCTTACAATGTTTGTAATAATAAATGTACTATAATATTTTGTTATTAAATGTATTTACAAAAATATAATTTTTTTTATTAACGTCTAATACAAACTCCTTTAAAAAAGTGCTAATACATTTTCTTGAATTTTAATTTCTAAAATAAGAATTGCAGTATGTCTTGAGGTACAATTTTAGGTCTTCTATATTTGAGGCAAAACGGTCAAAATTGATTAATAAATACAATTTTTATCACTCCGAATAAAGTACATGATTATTTTAAAATGAAATTGCCTTTTGAAGTACATCTGGCAAAGGTGGTATCTATCAGTTTTTCAAATTTGTACAGGAACATTTGGAGAACTAAAATTTAGAATAATGTTTTGATGTATGTATATATTTTAATTAGGAACCAGTTTGAAATTTTACAAACGAGACAGATTTGCATAAGATTTATTGACTTGCCACTATTAATAGTAATACAAAATTGAAATAAAATATACAGGGTGTTCCTAAATATCATGTACATATGGGAGGGAGTAATTCTTTGGCTTATTTCATGACATTTCATATAAACATAGATCCGCAAACAATTCGTTACCAATCTACAGGGTGTTGAAATTTTAAGATTTTTTTAGTTTTTTCTCTATAGCTCCTACAGTTTTTGAGATATTTAGCTCAAATTTGGAATATAGGTTACGCTGTAGGGCTTACATCATTGGGCATACTAAATGGTCGTGTTATTCTACAAAGTGATATATTTTCGGGGGTCATGTCCCCTTTTCTTCCCCTGAACTTTTGTGCGGTGCGCCGCTGGTAGATTCTAAATCGTAAAATATGTTTTGTTGGGAAACTTTTTGGTATCTTATAATTTTTTCGTATCTGCGACCGTTATCGAGAAAAAAAAAATAAAAAACGATTTTATGTAATTTGTTAGATGAAATTGAAATTTTTAAAATGGCCCAGTAGGTCCTGGATTTATTTGCATAATCTCGCATTTGAAATCGTAACTTGGGTCTGTATATGTTTATAAATTAAAGGTTTAAGTTATAAACTGTAAGGTGTAAAATTGTTTTAAATACTCATTATAATCTCAAAACAATGCCAAATTTTACGAATTTTGAAATGGCTGAAATGCATTTCATGTATGGCCTTGCGAATGGAAATGCAAGAGAAGCTAGACTATCCCAATAGAATGATACATGATCAATGAATACTTTCGACAATTGTTGTAACATAGTTTCCTGGTTATGGTTATTATTTAGGTTCTTTGTATTGTAATAAATCATTGCTACCGGGTCATCCCAGCTTTTAACAGGTAGTGGCGAATAAACTGTCAAAATTAATAGAAACAAGAGATTATCTAAATAAAGCCAGAGCCTACTGGACCATTTTAAGTATTTTAATTTCATTTAACGAATTACACAAAATCGTTTTTTTTTTCTCGATAACGGTCGCTGATACGAAAAAATGATAAGAGACTAAAAAGTTTCTCAACAAAACTAAAATTCAATTTTGATTTTAGAATCTACCAGTGGCGCACCGCACAAAAGTTCAGGGGAAGAAAAGGGGCATGACTCCCGAAAAAATATCACTCTGTAGAATAGTGTAAACTACAGTCCAAATTTGAACTAAATATCTCAAAAATTGTGGGAGCTATGGAGAAAAAACTAAAAAAATCTTAAAATTTCAACACCCTGTAGATCGGTAACGAAGGGTTTGCGGACCTATGTTCATATGAATTTTTAGTCATGAATTAAGCCAAAGAATTACTTCCTCCCTTATGTACATTATATTTAGGAACACCCTGTATATTTATTGCCAATATGAATATTTGTTTCAGGAAATATCAAGGGGGGTTCGACCTGTACGATTTGTAAAATATCCGGAGTATTTGCCCAAAGCAAAATAAACACAGATTTCCTAAACAAGATAAAAAACAAACCAGGGATAGGACGACCTTACAGGTACAACACGAATTTGATAAACAGAGGTCACAACTATTCGAGAGCTCACGAGGCCGCACCGACTCACCACAGTCCTCCGCCAAAAATAACCATCGAGAGGCTGTTCCAACTCCCATCCGAGGAAATAAGGAAGATACTGAGCCGGAGGAATGATTCGCCACGCCGCACGGACTCTAGCACATTCTTGGAGGCAGCCGGAGAGAGAGCTGGGAACGTGCAACCCAAGATATGTACTATGCAAAACGGCTTTTTGTCGATGTCAAAAATGCCAATAAAATGCCCTCATAACCCATGCAACAAAATGGTAACATTATCATCCTTCGTCACACACTTCAAGCACGAACACGCTGATATTCCGAGATACAACATCGAAAGAGGCAAGGAATTGTGTATACCCTGCAACGTTTCCATCATAGAACACGACCTGAGTCATTGCCTAGCGATGATCACCGTCTACGAAATTAACAAGATAGACGTTAATAAATCCAAAAGTTCACAGAGCGTCATAAAGACGTGCAGCAAGTTTTGTCAACAGGTGCCGATAAATTCGTTTTGGCTGATGGTGACTGGGTCTGCTGAAAGGAGACCACACTGCTCTTACGCTATTTATTGGCTGTTTACCATATCCGATGAAAATTATCAAAGTACTATAGAGCTCTCGTCCAAGATGGATTCGGTCGCTTTGTCTACATTTTGCGGAATAAATACGAGCAAAAGCGATAATTTCCTCAATATCGCTGAAAATCTAAACTGTTTAATAGTAACCAAAGCTTCTTTAGATGCAATTCTCAGAGAAGGGCCTGAAGTAAATTTAAGAGTCACTGTACATTGATAGGTAGTAAGTTACGGAGTAAAAATTACTGTGATATTGGTAAANCTGAAAATCTAAACTGTTTAATAGTAACCAAAGCTTCTTTAGATGCAATTCTCAGAGAAGGGCCTGAAGTAAATTTAAGAGTCACTGTACATTGATAGGTAGTAAGTTACGGAGTAAAAATTACTGTGATATTGGTAAACGATATTAATAAATATTGTGATATATTGTACGAATTTAATAAAACAATCTGCCGTGCATTTGCGTGATTACTTTCATTGCAAGTAATTAGAGAATAATTTTTCTGTTAAAGTATGTAAACTGACATTTTCCATATGAGAAAACTGCTGATGGTGATACTAAATCATGTTTTTAAAAATATTTTTTATGGTAAAGATGATATACCATCATAGAATAATACTGAATAAAATATCTCATTTAGACCGATCAAATTAACTCATTTAGAGGGGAAAAAAATAAATTGTTACCTGGACTTTTATAAGTGGAAATGGTAAAGGGGCTTATAATAAACGAAAAAAAATAAATGCGTGAGCAGGGACGGCGGAGGGTTGATAACTTTTCAACCCCCCAAGGTTGAAAAGTTATGAAAAATTGTCTCTTTGGAATTTCTGGCGAAAGTTGACGTCAAACAAAAAAAAGTATCTAATACGAAAGTTGTAGACCATGCAAAAATCTACAACTTTTGTAGAGGTAATTTTTTAACATAACCTCAAAATTTCCGATAAAAATGCGAAAAACTGGTCTTTTTCTGATTTTTTGTTTTTTATCTCATTTCCGCAAAAATAATTTAATTTTGACGAAACTTGGTGAAACCTTTCTCTCTCTTAAATTACCTCAAATTTTTTTAGATAAAAAAATCGAGAAGTTTCTGAGATATTCATTTTTTCGGCTTGAAACACTTTCTTTTCAAAGAAAAATTCTACTTAAAAAAATTACCGTACAGAGTTCTGCCGGTAATAATTTTTTTCGTTTTGACATATACTTTTTGGTGAAATACAATGCAATCGCAATTCAAAAATATGCTCAAAAATAAAAAAAGTAAAAAATGACGCAGCAATGAAATTTTCAGTAATTGTTAATTTGTTTAAATTTAAATAAAAATCAAAAACTGATTACACCATTCAATTGTTCGGAAAAAATTAAAAAAAACTGTCTCATTGTTTGACCCAAAACTATTTTTATACAGTATTGCTATAAACATAAGTCGAATAAGTAGTGAATAAATAAAATAAATAATAATTTTTTTTCCGTAGGATCGATTAGTGTACTTATTTTTTTTAAAGTTTGATGAATTCATAGATATACAGTGTGTCCAAGATAAAGATGGGATAGCATTAGGATTTAGGAAACGGTGAAATATACGGGGTGGCTCAGATTAGAAAAAAGTTGTGTTTTTTATACCTAACAATATGCTGTTTGGAAAGTTTTAAAATTCCGGGTAGTTCCGGAAATATCCGGAAAAACCCTAAATTTTGCTAAATTGTTTAAATAAATTACATATTTACAATGCCACTTTTTTCGCTCTATACAATGGCGTGGCGTCAACATTTTTGCAATCCGACATTTGAAATGTTATTACACATTTTTTCATTTCACCAAAAAATATATGTCAAAACGAAGAAAATGATTACCGGCAGAACTCCGTACGATCATTTTTTTAAGTAGAATTTTTCATTGAAAAAAAGTGTTTCAGGGCCATAAAATTGAATATCTCAGAAACTTCTTGATCTTTTTATCTACAAAAATTTGAGGTTATTTAAGCCAGGGAAAGGTATACTTTCACCAAGTTTCGTCAAAATTAAATTATTTTTGGGGAAATGAGAAATAAAAAACGAAAAATCAGAAAAAAAAAACAGTTTTTCGCAATTTTCTCGGAAATTTTGAGGTTATGTTAAAAAGTGACCTCTACAAAAGTTGTAGATTTTTGCATGATCTACAACTATTGTATTAGATACTTTTATGTTTGACCTTAACTTTCGCCAGAAATCCCAATGATACAATTTTTCATAACTTTTCAACCCCCCAAATCAAACCTCCGCCGCCCCTGCTAACGCATTTATTTTTTTTAGATTTATTATAAGCCCTTTTACCATTTCCACTTGTAAAAGTCCAGGTAACATTTTTTTTTTCTCCAAGTGTAATTTGGTTGGACTAATTTCCAACCTATAGCGCCAATTTGAGTACCTACTCTAATTACGGAACAGTTAGATAAAAATTACAGAATTTTCTAAGCAGATATAGGGTACACATACCACAAATACAAGAATGTGTCCCCCGACGTTTAGAATAAAATATTTTTTTTCCGGAAATTCTGAAAACTTCGAGGTAAGTTGTTGAGGGAAACTAATGAAGACTTAATTTATAATAAAATAGTTCAATCCTTCAGATTACAGAACTTCAATTTAAAACATTACTATTCTACAGGAAAATTTTTACATGAAAAGAAAAGATATTTTCAGTACTTCGTAATCGGCCATCGATATATTTCAGATTTACATTAATTCACGTATCATATTCATATTTCAGTAATACATAAATATACGTAAAAACTCAAAATAAAATTTTAAATTTAAAGTTTTCAAACAATATACAGTGTTCTGATTATTATATTTCAAACTGCTAGTGATTCAATAATGTTTCGCAGTTAAATGATAATCAAACTCAGGTTAACATTGCTAAGAAATGACAAATATTAGAAATAATGCGAACAGGCAAAAGTAGTTCAAACAAAAGTGATAATTTTTATACTAAAGGAGCCAATGTCAAATTAAACCACATATTCGACATATTGTAATTTAATCCTGATTGCAATTATTAAAATATTAAGCTAATTTCTCCAACATTGGAAAATTAAATATACTCAACAAGATCCCCTTACACTTATGTAGACTCACTGTTGGTGGTCCATAAAGAACCTGCTGTTTTTGATCAATGTCTATACAGAATATAATAGATTGTCTCTGTTGCTCCATAACAAAACCTGCCTTCAAGCTTTCATCAGTTGCACTGTTGTTAATTAAATTTTAAATTATGTTTAAACCCCAAATTAATTTGTAAACTAAACACTACTCTGGAGTTATAAAAATGTACAAGAAAGTTTAGAAACATGTTTTTTTAACTTCAAAGTAGTAAGTATTAAAAACATGCTTGAAAAGTATAAAGATTTAACTTGCAACTGAAACACAGCTAGAAATTAGTAAGTAGTGTTAGCCATATAGCCCAATTTTGTCTGTAAGGAGATCTGTCACAATACGTGGTACCTAAATTCTGAAATATCAGTAGCTTTTCGATCTTTCTAATTGCATTACAATGTTTTCATGTTGGTGCTTGAGTAAATTCGTCCAATATAACTTATGCTGATTGTTGACCCATTCCTTTATTGGGCGCCGTACTGTGATTTTGAACTCCCGTAGCAGGTTCACTGCTAATATAAGGAGTAGACGAAGGTTTTCCTAATTAATTTGTTATCCGCAATAAGTTTTCTGGTACCAGCCATTTCCAAACAAGCTTAGACGTGACGACGTGACTTGGTCCCATTTATTTCTATAAATCCTCATATTATTCTCTCTTGTACAATGTAGGAGGTACTGCATACAATACTGATTTGAAAACGGAAGTTAGTGCAAAGTTGGGTGAAATGCTACAACCACTGTTTCTTACTTTACTGAAGATATCAGCTGCTTGGTCTTTGACCTATTTGTATACCTTGTAATAGGTGATATCCATGCGTTTATTAGTATGTATTTCATTTAGGTTGTAGCCTCAAAGTTTCTGATAAAACTATGGAATTATAAGGTCCTTCTCCACGCTTGATATGAACTCAATAGTCCTCAGGAGCATACGACAGCCTGAAGAATTCGTTGCAACCTCTCCAATTACCAGGAACTGAAGAGGAGGCAAGATTTCTGTCAAACGAGCCTGTGTCTCTTGCCTAAATCTGCAGCATAGCGCCTTCACTTCTCGATCTTAATCCACTATACCAAAGCTGATTTTTGTCCTCTTCGTGATTCTATTCAGCAAATAGCTCCAAGTAGGTCTCCTAAGATGACTCTATATTGTTATTCTCTCGCAGCTGCAGGTGTTTACTGTCCCAGTTCGTATAGCTTTCTTCTGGTAGATGCTGATTAGATTGATTTGGAAGGACTAATTATTTACTCCTTTACATGTCAATCTTGTAACATGACAATATTTAAAGCCTTCTGCGTTATATCTTTGCTATATTGTTGGTTTATTCTAAACAATAATGACTAAGTTATTTACGAGTCAAAGACTCTTGCGAGGCATATTCAGTTCTCATCCCCTTTGACCCGGGTTATCACAGTTTTGTTGCATTTGAGGTAGGGTAAACCAAAATCCCTCTTAGCAAGCAACATATCCACTTTAGGGAAGTATTGCTATCTCAATGTTCAACAACGTATTTAAATGTATTCCTTTTGTATTGCAACACATATTCAGTCTTCTCCATTAGTCGGCAAAGAGCTGTTTCTTTTAACAGTCCTCCTCTATAGGCAAACTTTTTTTATGTAGAAGTTGGTTTACCAATACATTATCCACAATATGCCTAACTAGTAGTTTTTTTCTAAAAAGAGAAGACGAAAGACTTTATCAACTATATCATTCTGCTTGTAGATATCATCCATTTCACTATCTACCAATTTTCCTTAGACGCCCACCTTCAAGTTCCAGTTTTGTATTTTGGTAGTTCAGTCATGTCATAACTGGGTAAGTAATTATCTTATTGTTTTCTCTCGTATTCTCCATCAATTTAAAATTATTTAGAAAGAATATTATACATTCTGGCATATTCTGGAGTGTTTCCTTACAATTTCCTTCTCCATGAGTCTCTATTGGATTTACTGAGAGCTTCATTATACCGAGTTGGGGCTCTTTTGTTACCTTCTCACATGCTTTGATGGCTATGGGCATCATATTTACAAGAAGTCAACTTTTTATCTTTAGAAATGCATATCATAAGTTTGTTATCTCAAATTCTAATA